GTATGTATGTATGTACGTGTGTGTGCGTATGTATGATGTATGTATGCATGTATGTGTATGCACACACGTACGTATGTGGGTCTGTATATATATATATATGTATGTATGTATGTATGTATGTATGTATGTATGTATGCACGCACGTTTGAATGTGTGAGCCAGGTTGGCGCCGGCTCTCGCTGTACAGACTCTGCCGGAGGACCATACAGCAGGCAAGTCGTGTTGGCCTCCAGGTCTTGTTTTGCAGGAGTGGTCGATGAGTGCGCCGTTGAAGTCTCTTTGTCAAGGCTGCAGCCAGCCTTTGCCTTCGGACTTGGCTTCTTGGCTGTGTATTGTTGGCTGCAGTGGCGAGAAGCAGGAAATCGGCAGGTGGGGGGGGGGAAGGTAGGCAATTTCTCGCCGAGTTGATGGGCGTGCCAGGATCCCGTACTGTGAGATGGTGCGCAAACGATGGGGTAGCAGTAGCGTGTTGTAGTTCATTCTTGAACCGATTAAGCCTAAGGTGAGTGCATGGACTCGTGCAATGCGTTCGCGCTTGGCACATGCCATGGCGTGGGTTTCCGAGAAACATGGCGGCAAGATGATAGACATAGAGGAAAGCTCAGCATTTTGGCAACTGGTGTGTGGAAATGCCTCAGAGAGGAAGAGCTCAAATGACTGTTCCCGCTGCTTTCGCAGCATTCCGGGAGTATGCCAAGGACTCTTTGGGCTGTGTCCTCTACCTTGAGGCTTCGAAGACGCAGCATGTTGGCTTCGGGTTGTTGCTGGAACATAAAAAGTATCGGAAGCATGGATGGATTTGGGTTGCTGTTTTATGTGCATGATTCATGGCCAGCTTTGCTCCAGAAGGGCTCAACTCTTCATGAACTGAAGCCGGTGAAGGCGAGTGACGCTTCGAGTTGGTAAACCCGAGAGGCTGGTGCCGGCAGCAGTGATGCCCCGGGCCTGAACCGCCAGGCCGGCACCGAGAATCGGAGTATCATCGGAGTTTGTCGGAGTAGGATTAGGTGATTGGGGTGCCCTTTGAATTTGAAACCACTTTTCATCTTGACGCTCCTTAGCAACGCAGATTCGAGTGCTTTTAGCGTTGCTTCCCTTTCAGGGACTCGGTCCTGTCTGCAAGGTTTGGACACTCATCAACGGCACGGGGACTGGTCCTATTGCCGCTTCGCAAATGGGTCTGGACGGGCAAGGCCCCGTGCTCTGCAGGGCTAGAGGACCCGAGAGGAGATGGCTTAGGCAGGACCCAGATGGAAAGAGACTTTCGGTTGAAACCACCGGTGCTGCCTGGCAGCCGAAGAACCAGTCTTTGTTTCTGGGCTCCAGGCGGTGCATGCTACCGTCGACAGCTTGATGCAGCCTGCTATCCACCTGGACGCGTCCGGAAGATTGTGTGGGAGGGTTGTGTCCCGGCGAAAGCTTCCATCTGTGCAGTGCAGGCGGAGGCTTTGGATCCAGAGTACTCTTTAGCCAGCTTGACGTTTCGCCGTCTCAGCACTGACAGCGCATGGATTCGTGCCTGAGAGCTCCAACATACGACCTTGCAGCAAGCCAGCGTGTTTCGACTCTTTCTGCCTGGCCTGGTGACCTAGGTTTTCAAGATGGGGCTAAGTTTAGGTCTGAAACGCTCTGAGCACAAGGCCGTTGTCTGACCAATTGGGCCCTGGAGCTGGATGACGGCTCGTTCGAGTCGCCGTCGCAAGTGGCGGGCTGCGGAGCTGCACACGGTTCGAGTGGACACGGTCTCACTCTTCCATGACTGTTCAGCCAGAGAGGCTTAGAAGACACGACTCTTCTACATGACTTATGTCCAGATCTGAGATCAGATCCATGACAAGGTCGCAACTGGAGAAACTGCGCTGGAGAAGCGCACTTGGATGGAGACGAGTACATACTCGGGATGACGCAGCACCTTGATTAAGTGGTTGCAAATGTTGCGCAAGGTGTAGGAAGGTGATAAAGCCGTTCGCTGCCTTAAGCCCGATGGGAATTTGAGAAGTGTGCTTTGTGCGAGGTACGGTGGTGGATACTGCAACTTCTACGGCGGCTGGGGTCGAAGGTTTGATTTCTTCACCAACAAGCGTACAGTGGCCGCCCCAGACTCTTGATGTGTCAGGCGGCTGGTTCACAGCGTACATTACGTACAGTACGTCTGCGGCGAGCCGTGCCAGTCACCTCTTCAGTTTCACCGCTTCGGGGACAGGTTGTCGGCAGTGGCTTTGCAACCTTTTGCGCTCCTCTGATTGTTTCCCGCGTGTTGTCGCTGAGAAAGGCTGACATGAAGCCTTACTCCACTGCGAGTTCGAGCGAGCGGGTGCTGCAAGATTAAAGTGTCGCAGTCGTCTCCGCCGTGCTCAGGTGAATGTGAAGGCGCCAGGAAAGCCGCAGCTGCACGTCGCATCTGAGATCGCCCGACGAGCTGTGACGGTGAGCCGAACGCATCTTGCTGTCACCTATTCGTGTTTCCTTGGCCTATGTGCTGACCTACACCCCAGACGGTTTGAGGTGTCAAGCCTTGCTGCTTTGGGGTTGTACTCGATCCGCTGATGTGGTTTGGCATCTCCATGAAGGAGAGCACGCCCTAAGGAAGGAAGGCGGGAAGTTCTTCCTCTTCCACAAGTCAGAGTGGCTGAGCATCTTCGGCCTGCTTCCGAGCCAGGCTCCAGCATCGAGCTCGGTTTCTTTCTGGCTCTCCTCCTTCAAAGGAGCTTTGCCAAGCCTGAGCCCTAAGCTTTGCATTCTCTTTGGAGATCTTTTCCCTCCCAGGTCAAGACTCGGGTGAAGCAACTTCGCCAGACCGAGATCGTCTGGGAGGGAGAGGCGGTGCTGGTCGAATAAAACCCTGCCCGCGGAACGAAATGAGAGTCGGAGGATAGCGAAGAATCTCAATAAAAAGATATGACGTGCCTTCATGCGCCGGGTGATTTCTTCCAATTTTGCCATGTCACAAAGGAGACACATCCTGTGTCCTGTCATGTAGTCATGCGGCAGAAATACGAGCCCCAATGTAGTCGTTCGCAGTGATAAATAGCAAACATGGAGGTGGTCGTCTGGGGCAACTCGAACGGCCTGCATGGACGACGATCGCACGAAGGCAAGGCGATGAGTGCAGGATTCATCGTCATGCAGAGACGCTGAATTCAACTGACAGCAGTACTTCGGAGACTTGGGATTTGGTGTTGAAGACAGTTCTCGGCATGTTCAGCGGAAGAGCTGTGACAACGGGCGCAGGACTGTGCACACAGACATGCTGTAGAACTTGGAGACGGCTTGAGGATTGTACAGTAAGCCCACAAGAAAGTTCCCGAGATCCCTCCGGGCTTTTGTCGCCAAGCCGTCCCAGGTGATCCTGGTCAGTGGCAGTTGAACGATTTGCTTGTCGCTTGATTCCGCAGAAGGCTTTTGGCAGTGTGGCCCTTTTTCCTTCGATCTTAAAATCGGTTCCTTCCCGGTGAAAGTACAGCGAAGCTGTGTAACGTGTAGTTCACAAAGATTGTGCCCGGAGTCGCGATGCCTGTGTATTTTGGCGTGTCTACCACTAGTCTACCAGATCTTTACACCAGTTGTCTGACGACTTCTTTCTTGCCGGCCTGTAACACTCCTTGTGAAACCCTTGCTGTCATTGCTTCAGGTCCTAAGCATGCCCCGTCGCACAGCATGGAGGTGAATAGGAGCCCTTCCGACGTGAACAATTCTATGCGGGTTAGCTGCATCAGCGCTGAACGTCATGTCGCGCAGTCGCGCTTTGCACAGTGAGCAAGACTCCCCCTGCTCTCAGAGTTGCAGAGGTGCCTTTTGCCGGCCCGGATGCTGGTGCAATCGACTTTCTGCTCTCCAACAGGGCTTCTGCAGCTGTGGTGGGCAGCTTCCTGGCCGGTGTTGCGGAGAAGGACATGAAGTCCTCGACGAAGGAAGGGGTGGTGAATCTGGAAGAGAAGGTGGGCTCTAGCAGCGGTCAGCAAGCAGTCTTTTGAAGTCTGAGATCCCTGCAGAGGTGCAGTTCTCCATGCGCCTGCAGCCTGGCAAGCAGATTCTCGGACCCTTTGTGGGCCCGGTGGCGGGGCTCTACCCCGAGGGCCGAGTCTCCCAGGCCAGGTCCTCCGGTAGGCCACTGGAAGCGCTGAGCTCCGAACCGGTGTTGTAGGCTTTCGCATCATGTCCACGCTGCGTCGCTGCGTGCCGTGCAGGTCGGTTTGGCGGATGTTTGCTTTCCCGAACCTCCTGTTGCTTCCAGCCACTGAGCTGCGTCGTCCTTTTCCCTTGTCGTGGCATGTTGAGAAGTTCAGAACTCATCCAGTGAATCCGGTGGAAGCGGGGTAAGCACACGTGCATTTTCTAGTGAGTCTTCCCAAGTGCTAAAGCCAAGGAAACGAAACAGCAGGAAACCAGTCGGATGAAGTGCCTCAGGCGAAATCTGCTGCTTGCCTTGAAGGTGTAAGGATCTTGTGGATTCGCATTGGGGCAGGGCTGACGGGTGCCAGCGATCTCGAAGTTTATTGTGGCCTTGCAGTGGCATGTGATGTTCAGCGGCCTAGACTTAGACCAGCCTCAGGTTCCGACACCCAGCTGCGGTGGCACCGGGGGTGGAGCTGCCTGCAAATTCCCGTTTGAGCCACTCGTCGGCCTCGGTTTCTCAATCAGCTGAGTTTGGTGTTTCAGCACCGAAGAGAGAGAGAGAGAGAGAGAGAGAGAGAGTCGAAGAGTGTTCGCACCGTGGTCGTCGGCCTGTGTCGAACAAGTTTGAACTCCAAGACAAGTCTGCCATTTCACTGGGCTTAGGTTCAATGGAAAGACCTACGAGACCTGCACCAAAGAGGGTCACGATCGGCCATGGTGTTTCACTGTGGCAGGAGACAATACGTGCCCTGGCATGACTCTGGTTTGTTGGGGGTCATGTGGAACTTCGGGTGGAGACATCTGTGAGTTTCCGGACTCAACACGATCAGGTGGGGAAACTGCGACTGCGCAGCATCCCTCATTTCTCTGGGATCCGCCACATCTACGTTGGTGGCAGCAAAGAAGACGGGAGGAGGCTCAGGCAGAAGCAGGGACATGGTGATGCACTCACAGGGCTATCTCTTGAAGATAATCGCAAGAATGAAGTGGTGATGCGGTTTTTGCACAGACAAGTATCGAGACACACCGTTGCAGCCCTTCAAGGTTCGAGTAAAAGAAGGGAACCTGTCCGCTTCATGGTAGCGGAGCCCACCAGGGCTCGTAGAGCTGCCAGCTAGGCATGGCCGAAGGCAGTCCGACCGCAGAGGCTGCAGGGGCACGAGCTGTTAACGTGGGGCCAGGTGGGCTTATCGATACGAAGGCCTACGGCAAGCTGAGGTCCTTTGATGGGAAGGAGGACAGCTGGGCCACGTGGAGCTTTGTGGCTAGGAGCTACTTCACCCTGCTTAGCCCCGACTTTGACGCTCTACTGGACGCGGTGGAAGCGCAGCCTTTGGGGGGCATGCGGCTGGCGCGGCTCTCAAGCAACGGCCTGGTACACGCGAAGACGCTCTACCACATCCTGGCGCAGAGTGTGGAGGGCAAGGCCTTGAGCATCCTTATGAATGTCGAGAAGCAGAACGGCTTCGAGGGATGGAAGGCCTTGGTGGAAGCTTATCAGCCAGACCTGGGCGGGAGGCACACAAGCATGCTGATGGGGATCATCAGCCCAGCGTGGGAGAAGAGTGCCGAGGCCACGTTCCTGGAGGACCTAGAGAACTGGGAGGTGCTGATCAGGCGCTACCAGGACCAGGCGACGGACGTGGTGACTTCGGCGACCAAGATAGCGATCCTCATGAAGTATGCCCCGGCCTCGCTCAGGAACGCTCTGCGGACGAATGCTACGAATATGGGTACCGACTATGACAAGGTGAAGAAGTTTATTCGGGACTGGCTGCAGAGCGGGGTGACCTACGGAAGTGCCGGTGAGATCAAGCCGGCCGGCCAGGCCAGCGACAAAGGGCCGGCCCCCATGGACGTGGGCGCCGTCGGCTACGACAACAAGGGCAAGGCCAAAGGAAAGGACGGCAAAGGCAAGAAGGGCAAGAAGGGCGACAAGGGCGGCAAGCCGGGTCAGCCCGGGAAATCCTCCGCGGCAACCTTCCAGGGCGAGTGTGGCTTCTGCGGCCAAGTGGGGGCACAAAAGAAAAGACTGCTGGGCAAAGCAGGCCAAAGACAAGGGCAACGGGAAGGGCCAAGGAGGAGGCAAGACGACGGCGGCGGTGGAAAGCAGCCCGACGAGCCCAACGGGAACCGCGGCAGCCGTGTACTACGACATCAGCGGCGGCGAGGCCGAGCACGAGGCAGAGGACGAGGAGGACGACGAGATCCGGTGGGTCATGGCCATCAACGCCGGGTCCCTTGAGGAGCCCGACCAGAACCAGGACGACCAGCCGGAGCTTGTCCTCTACGACTCGGGGTCGGACGAGAACGTGTTCCCGTACCACTGGGGCACTGATGCCTTTGACCAGGACAGCGAGATCACGCTGAGGACGGTGGCCGGGGGCTTGCTCAGCCAGGGCCGCCAAAGGAGGTTGCAGTTCGAGGTGCTCACCGTGGAGGGCACCATGGCCAAGGTCGAGGGCACGTTTCAGGTGAGCCGGAGCTGTGTGAAGCCGGTGGTGTCGGCGGGCAAGCTGCTGAAGAAGGGGTTCCACGCGCAGCTGACCAAGAGCGGGGGCTACGTGTGGCACCCGGGTGGCTTGCATTTCGAGCTGACCGTGCGGGGCAACTCTACCTACTTTTGGGTGAGGAATGTGAGGGCCGTGCCGGCCGAGGGCGCGAGCCAACCGTCTTCCCCGACCACCAGGTTCAGGACGGCAGCCCCGGTGGAACAAGGAGGCGACCCAGATGAATGGGAGCAAGCCGGCCAGGAACATGGAGACGAGGCGGCCGAGGAGGATGTGATCCAGATCGGCGGCGACGTGAACTTTGAGCGGCGGGGGAAATCCAAACTGACCCCGTTCGACAAGGTGGAGAAGCTCAAGGCCCGGTTGAAAGAGCTGGGCAAGCCGAGGTATGGAACCAAGGCCGAACTATGGAGTCGGCTAGAGAAGGCCGAGAAGGAGCACATGAAGACCCAGAGGCAGCACCAGGAACGGCAGAGGAAGTTGCGAGAAGGGGTGGCAGAGCCAGTGGAGGCCCCACCTGGGCCACAGGAGCCGACGCCGGAGCAGAGGGCGCAACATGAGCTCACGCACCTTCCTCCAGAGCCGTGGTGCGAGCATTGCATCAAGGGGCGTGCCATTGACACGGCGCACCGGCAAGTGCCCTTGGAGCTCAAGGCGACCAATCCAAGGGTGGAGGTGGACTATTCCTTCATTAAGGTCGACGGCACCGCGGCGGAGATGGATGAGTCCACCGAGGTTATCCTCAGTGCCTGGGACGAGGCCACGGGGATGGCAACAGCAGCCTGCCTCCCTAGCAAGAACTACGACCCGGACTATGTGAGCCGATGGCTGGCCGAGTTCGTGGCGAGTCTGGGGCACACAAGGGTGGTGATAAGGACCGACGGCGAGCCGGCGGTGCAGGCGATCTCCAAGAGGCTCCTGGACACTTTCCGCAAAGACTTGGTGGTGGGAGTCCGGGGGGTCAAGGCCACGGCGGAGACAGCACCAAGGTACTCCTCGCAGAGCATGGGTGGCGTGGGGGCTTTCCAGAGGACCCTCAAGACCGACATCCTGACAATGCGCTACGACCTGGAGGCCCGCTACGCGACCAAGGTGCTGACTACCCACAATGCAAAGCAACAGCAGGACAGCCTACCAGGACGCCTTTGACACCGCCTACACCGGGGAAGTCCTGCCTTTCGGGGAGACCGCCATGTTCAGGACGCCCATCAGCAAGACCGGGGCCGTGCAGGGACGCAAGCGGCAGCTGAAGGGCGACAGCTTGTGGAGGCAGGGCATCTTCTTGGGCAAGAGCGTGGCTTCCAACGAGTTCCTCTTCGGCACCGAGGACGGAGTTTACTCGGGGCGTGGGGTCCGAAGGCTGGCCGCGGCACAGAGGGCAAACAAGGAGCTGTTCGACAAGTTCGTGGGTTTGCCATGGGACGTCAAGACCACCCTCAAGGGGCCAAGGAGGCTGGCGACCTCACGTGGAGGAGCAGAAGCACAGCCACCGATGGCCATGGAAGGGGCGAGCGCGCCGGAGACACCCGCCATGGACATTCCAGCAACGCCGGGGGCAACCAACGCGGCACCAAGCACCCCGAAGGCACTTCTGGGAGAAGCTCGGGCCGAGAAGCCCAAGAAGAGGCGCACAATGGAGGAGGAAGCCCGGGACCACCTAGCCGAGCGGGATGCCGAGGACGCGAACATTGCGGCGAGATCGGGCTCTAGTGCTTCGGGGCAAGGCGGGGCGGCCGAGCCCGGCATGGAGGTGGAGCACAGCCAACAGCGAAAACGGGCACCAGGGCAACCGGAAGCAGAGCCAAAGCGACTCAAGATCGGGGGCACCGTGGCGGCAACTCTCTACAAGCCCCAGGAGGAGCTGGACACCTACGAGCAGTATGAGCAGGCCTGGTGGGATGCCGAGGGCGACAACGGCGAGGGCGACAAAGAAATCCTCGACTTCAACACCCGCATCCCGGAGGTCACCGCCGGCAAGATGGCAGAGCTGGCAAAGATGGACAAGTACGACACATATGAGCCAAGGCCTTTGGAAGAGGCCAAGGGCAAGAAGATCCTCGACAGCACCTGGGTCATCACAGAGAAGCCCAATCGTACGGTGAAGTGCAGGTTCTGCTCGTGGGACCTGAACAGCAAGAGCGTCCGCACTGATGTGTTTGCGGTGGCTTCCTCGCAGGCGACCTCTCGGATCATCGATTCGATTGGGGTCAAGAAAGGCTATGTGTTCTTTACCTTGGACGCGGAGAACGCTTTTTGGCAGGTGCCCATAGACGAGGAGTGCTACATGTACCCGCCGTAGGTGTCACCCACCCGGTGCACCTTGTACTTCATGACCATCTTGAGGGAGAGGGCCTCGAGGAATTCCACAACCTCCTTCTCGGGGCCTGTGCCGTGGAAGTCGTCCATATGGACCTCCATGCTGATCTCCTTGGGCCCGTGGTGAAAGAACCAAGGTGCCACCACCGACCTGTCGAAGCCCTCGCTCCCTGCTTGCAGGGCTGCCCAATCCACGAACTTTTGCCCAGCCACGCGGCGGCCGTACCATTCCTTCTTCAGCTTCCAGATCACCCTGGTGCTCAAGCCTTGTTTTCGCCGCTCCTCCAGCCACTCGTCGAGCACCTCAGGCGACTGCGGACCATAAGCCACCAGGGCATGTTCGTGCAGCCGAACCCCAAGTACTTGCAAAGCATGCTGAAGGCCCTGGGGCTGGAGCAGGCCAACCCGGCACCCACACCCGAGGTGACAACCCAGACGCCAGATGAGGAGCAGTTCCTGGATGAGAGCATGGCCAAGGTGTTTCGGTCGTGCGTGGGGAAGGCTCTATACCTTTCCTTTGACCGGCCAGACATCCAGCACGCCGTCCGGGAGCTGACCAAGGAGATGAAGGCGCCAACGGCCACGGGCATGAATGCACTGAGGCGCTTGGCGAGATATGTCAAGGGCACGGCGGGCTATGGAGTATGGCTGCCGGCCGGAGGCGACACAGACTCACTACAGGTGGCCTCGGACACGGACTGGGCGAGCTGCAAGAAGACACGCAAGAGTTGCGCCGGCGGTGTTTTCATGTGGGGCGGTTGCCTCATTGGGTCATACAGCCGGGGACTCTCGATGATCTGCTTGAGCAGTGGGGAGGCGGAGTTCAATGGTGGCGTCATTGCCACCTCCGAGGGCATTTTTTGCAAAGAGGTCCTCGACTTCTTCCGCATCCCGGTGGTCCTTAAAATTTATTTGGACAGCAGTGCCGCAAGGGGGGTCTTTCAACGTGAAGGCGTAGGCCGCATACGCCACCTCGAGACCAAGTCCATGTGGGTGCAAACGGGCCTCAAGGAGCGGATGCCGTGGATACCCAAAACAACGCGGCAGATATCCACACAAAGGCCATGGGCACCGAACGCTTTGTCATGCTCAGAACCATGCTGGGCGTGATCGACAACGTGCCAGGGCAGGCGGAGATGCGAGCAGAGGTCGCGAAGAACATGTTCAACAGCATCAAGAAGAGCGTTGGGGCGATGAACGCCAAGAAGATGGCTGCGGCTATCATGGCAACGCAGCTGCCAACAGTACAGGCGACCGAGCTTGTGACAACAGGAGGCCAGTTGGAGGTGACGGCGCAGGGGGGCGGATACATGACAATGGTGCTGGCAGCGCTGGCCGTGATGATTGCCACGGTCTTTTGGTTCTGCAGGTGCACCGGGCCCAACAAGACCATGCGAGACACCGCCACCCAGACAGCGGCCCAGGAGCTCAGCGCGTGCATCCCCAACCGGAAGCTGCAGGATATGTATGTGACCGGACAAGGCGAACGAGTTCACTTCGACGACGATTGCCCGTACATTCGGGGGCACCAACGCAGGCTGAAGCACCCTTGCAGCAGGTGCATGAACGCAGCCACGGAGCTGTGGGTGGAGCTCAACGATTAGTGGAGGGCTTGGGCCAGCAAGCGGCGAAAGAGCCGGTTTTCGAGCAAAGCTCCCTTCCCTTGAACGGCTGAGGGGGGTGATGCGGTTTTTTGCACAGACAAGTATCGAGACACACCGTTGCAGCCCTTCAAGGTTCGAGTAAAAGAAGGGAACCTGTCCGCTTCAAGTGGGTAACCACAAGGACAAGTGGCCATGCACTCCCAGTCCCAGTGCCACTCAGCGTTCCAGGTCACTTGCGAATATTGGCCCGAACTACTTTACGGATCTAGCCAAGTCTACTGGACCGGTACGATTATGGTAAGATTCCGACAAAATCTCATCGCTTCTGCCACAGCAATCCCACATTGGCAAGGTGGCAAGTCCTTCGAGTATGCTCTGCTGACAACCTCGACCAGGTGGGTGTTTCCACAAAGCCAGAAGCACCCTCCTTTGGGAGGGAATTCCTCGATTTCCCTGGTTTGTACACGACGGCCAACCAGCTTTCTGGCATGGGTCCAAGTTGCAGATTTCTGAGACTGCAGCAGCCGTACTCCTGCCTCTTTCCTGCTCCCTGTCCTAGTGGAAATCATGAGTTAATGGGCGATCGATGACGTATTATGGAATGAGCGGCCCAGCAATTCTTTCCATCTAAATCTAAGCTTCTTCCACAAATCGTACTGCCGATGTTTTTGCAAACCGAGTTCCTGGTTTTGTGGCTGGCAGCTGGCTTGCCCAAGAGTCCCGTAAAGCAAGCTGGTTTGTTTTCTGTAATTTTGGAAAGCTGATTTTTGCAAACTCAGTGGAATCTTTTTGCTGTGACGATGGTCTCAGACTGGCTGTGTTCGTCTGGTAAAGAAGAAGCGGGGAAGGAAAGGCAAGGGCGATCGATACTGGCTACTTGGATTAAGCTGCACAGCCTGAAGAGGCTCGTTGTGCCTTCCAGAATCGACCTGAACCCTTTCCATCAGAACAAGCAGAGCATTCCTTCACCCGCTGTCGGTATCTTGTGGACTCTACAACTCTTTCCCAACCCTGCTTGAGATCGATCGAAGGTGAACTTGGAAGTGGGCCTTGAGTTTGCTTTTCCAATTCAACTTCCGATGTTTCAGGCGCAGTATATTCATGCCACAGTTCCCACAACGCTAAGTTGCGAATGCTTCGAGAAAGAGGCAGAGGCAATAATCACTGGGTCACTCCTCCAGAGTTACCAGTAGTTCTCTTTGCCAAAAACAGCTTCAACATAGCACGAGTGGACCCAGTAACCCAAGCTCGAAGCGGCAGGAGCGCTGATTCCGGCTACAGCAGCTGCTGGGACATTGGTGAACTCCAGATTCTCGGTTGCAGCAGGGTTTGCCCGCCAGAATAGCCGGGTTTCGGGAGCAGCTCCTTTGCGCCCACAATGCTTGTGTGTGTGTGTCTTTTCCAAGCTACACCCGCGTGGAAGGGCAACACTTCAGACTAACTCACTAGAATTTTCCTTTGGGGGTTGATGCTGGATAGTGTGCAGATTGCAGTCACAGTATTTTTCGAGTTGTCGTGGCGGGTGCAGCAAACTCGAGCACATTCATAGCCACGCAGTCTCCATATCTCATGAACCCTAAGCCTGTGCCGTTCGGGCTGTGCAGGACGTGGGTAGAAGTAAGAAGAGTGTTTTCGGAGTACTCAGGTTCTTCTCGGACCGCATGTGCCGGAACCAGATAACAGCGACTGGGCTTAACTGAGATGCAGCCATGTTCTGACCAGCCCCCGGTTTCCGCGTGTCCCCGTAGTGTCGTGAGACTTCCAGCATCCCTTCTGTCTTCAGCATGATATGCCTGGTCATGGAGAGGTCTGATCGCACCATCTAGGCATGTGTGCAGTGCCAGTGCACGGAGATTAAGTCTGAAGTCTTAAGTGGTGAGGGTTTCGGGCATGGACAAAAGAAAGATAGGATGGCGAAGGCTGGCCAACGCAGGGCGTTAAGTTCTCTGTGTGCCGGAGGCCCTTGTTGGTGCTTTCAGCATTTCAGGGTAGCCGGTTTCCACCTAACTCCTGCAGTCCTCCGCCATCTTCGAGGCGTCCTGTGCCAATGTAGTATTTGGCGAGATTTGAAGAGGTCCGGCTGTTTTGTCCTCAACCAAGCCAATCGTCGATTAACGGACGTGAGTCTTTGCGTGGTGCTGTTGGCCTATTGGACAGACTTCCGGCACAGATCATAGAACGGGCATTGGAACGAAGACCAGCTCTTCAATATCCTTGATTGGCAAGAAGTCAAGGCCAGCTGGGCAAGTGCAGCACAAGGTCAAAAGGCGACGACCGCCTTGCGCGCTTCAAAAGGCGAAAGTGACGCCACTGTGAAACCCGAGCCGTCTGCGGAGCCTGGAGGCTGCTCTCCCCCACGCTTGCCCTGCAGCCGCTGCAATCCCCAATGGGTAGCGGGTCGTTGCGAGCGTTTACAAGCTTCCGCCACAGTCACCTCTAAACTTTACTCAACAACTTTGTTCTTTTCCCAGCATGGAGTCTCGGTGGATTGCGTGTCTCCTTCGCATGCACGGCGCATGACTGGGTCCTGGCTGCTTGTTGTTCCGGTTCTTATGGTGACTTGCGATGTTCTGCGGAACCAAGGAGTCTCTCAGTTCCTCCTCTCAGCGGATAATTGCTTCTCTCCGGGGTCGATACTGTGTACTTGAATTCACTTAGCCTTTGCGGCGATTTCGCGATTCCCTGGGCTGCGAGATCGGCGCTGCTCATGTACGAGCTGACCTTTCTGAGGGCATTTTCTGTTTCAGCCAGCCCTCTGAGAAATTTCCCCTTGAGCCCGGGACCTTAGCTTGGTCGCTGCCTGCTACTTGGAAACACCGTTCTCAATACAGAAGGTTCGGCCTCCACATCTCTCAAGGTTTCGGGTCTGCCCTTTCCCAGGGCTTCTGCCATGGTTCAGCTTTGCCCGTTGCCGCTCCTTACCTCTAGGTGTTAAGGCTCTCCATGGTCAAGACTACTCTACTGACCAGCGGTAGAACAGCAAGGTTTTCCTGATGGTCTTTGTTTTGCACATCGCGGTGGAGCTTGCCGGCCCTGCACAAATTCCTTTCCTCGTGTTTCGCAGGTCCCACAGTCTGTCTAGGGTCTCGCAAGCCGCACCATTTTTTGTGCGAACTTCTTTCTTGGTTTCGGGTTTAGCTTGCTGTGCGCATTTTGCAGCGTACGCCCTCACCGCTTGTTGCCCTACTCCGGTCAGCCTTTTGAACTCGGGGTTTGAATGGCGGCTTTCTTCAATTTTCTGAACTTCTCTTCCGATTCCTAGAGCTTTCTCACTTCCTCCTGCCTGTTTTTGGTGATTTCCTGCCAGCTTGCAGGCTGCAGGCTTCCTTTGGTTCACAGAAAATATGAAGTATGATTGTGACAAGCTGCAATGGCAGGCGACGAGCGAGGGCCACACATCTGTCGCAGGGCGTGCTTCAACTGTCACACATCACTTGGCAACCATGCCCGGTGTGCTGACGCATGTCCTCCACTCGCCCATGCCTTCACCAGCTCTCCGCCTTGCAGCCTTCAGCCTGAAGCTGCCTCCAACAAAAAGACGGTCGGCATCAGGTCGCGGCTGTGCGAATTAGAAGCCTCCACACTGACATTCGCACTTCTACGCGCTGCCGTAGGGTGGTTGTCAGAACTTGTCGACCAAAGCTCCCAACCTCCGACCGCCCACCGTTGTGCTGCTTGTGTGTGCTGCCTTAGCTTCGGCCTACGCTTTGGAAAGCCCCCGGGGTGCGGGTGCGTGCTTGCGTGTAGCAGCCACTGCAGCGAGAAGTTTGGAGCTTGAAGGTCAAAGTTAAGAAGAATCGGCCTTGCATGTCAGGTGAACTCGAGATCCATCTCTGTCAGCACTTACGAGGCTCCGGATCAAGTTGTGATCCGTGTTGACTTCAGGGTCGGGCATCAGTCTGGGTGTGCTTGGCGTTTTGCAAATGCGTCCATGGTAGCCATCACAGCCCATTCCCCGAACCATCCGGATTGCGCAAGCTTCTTGCCGACCTTCCAAGCGGAGGACGGCCTCCAAAGCCACGAATACCAGGACCTCTCTGCCAAGCTTACGCTTTGATAAAGCCTAAAGGTGTCTCCTGTACCCATCTGTCAGAGTTTGCTGATGGTGCCCTTGTTTTCTGTGATGCCTTGCTATTCACCTCCATTCTGTTCTGCTGGGCTATTATGAGCTCGAGTGCCAGGAGATCTCCAAAGACATGCTCTGCCGAGCAGGGGCAGATGGGCAGTGGTACCTGGGAGGCCGAAGATCAGCCAGAGGAGGCAGGGCAAAGTTGTGACTCTAGGTCGGAGCGTCAAACATTACACTGGTGACAGGACTTTACGACAGCCTGGATGCTTGCAAGGAGCGGAATGCGAAGCGAATCTGCAACTCCGAGCCCACGAAGTTGTTGGCATTCCGAAGAGCCTCTAGAGGTACAAACATGTTAAGACGGGACTTGGACCGCGCAGTGGAATAGTAGTACGTACTTGCTTGTGCATGCACCTTGCTGGATATCAGACAAGACAATGCACGTGACATAATTCTACTGCATGCGTGGCCAGGATCTCTGCACCACTGAGAGGAGACGCCGTCTTCCAGCTGTGACCCCCTGAAAGGGATTGTTCTCACATCGCGCCTGGCTCAGTCTTAGAGCTCTAGGCCACAGCCAGATGCCAGAGTGGTTACATGTAACCGCTCCGGTGAGCCCTAACCACTGCAGCCCACCAGCACCTTCAGCATCACAAGGAGCACCCAACAAGCAGTTCAACAAGCACAAAACGCAGCATTAACATCAGCAGCACCACAAATAGCGACATGATCAAGCAGATCAGCAGCGACAGCAGTAACACCTGCCAAAACGACGGCATCGACACGGCATCAGCAGCCAAGGGAGAATGGCGGTCACAACTTCACAATGAAAGAAGAGATCACCAGAGCCGAAACGGGCACCACTCGTGGAGCGAAGACGAGTAGGTAGTGGTCGTAGAAGCGGCAGTGCTGATCCTCGGGCCAATCAGCCGCACAACCCAACGTCAAAGCCGTAGATTTTCCGCTAATGCCCCCACCCAAGCCTGACGTGCTGGCACTGCTTGTCTTGCAGAGTCGATTTGAGTAGAGGATGCCCGGAATCTACAACAGGACTGGAGTCCTCTGCTGTTTGTATGATTTTTTTGGGAGGAGCTGCACATTTTTCGGACATCGAGCAAAGGATGGCAGAGCCTTAGACGGCAAGGAAAAGGAACAGTCCCGTTCAGGGCCTGTGGGGTGCAGCCCTGTTTCCAGTTTGGGGTTTAGGACCTTATGACCAAGGACGGTTGTCCTGCTACTTGTAGATCTAGTAGGCTCATGCATGAAGGGCAGTCTCCACGCACCCCGAAGGATGTGAGTTCTTTACGGCCTTCGGTGACTGCGAGAACAAGATGGGAGGCAGGATGGGCAAGTCGCTACAAAGCATGCTGGCCCTCATTAGACGAAGACGGTCTAGTGAGTCTAGCAGGCCTAGTACGCACCTCACAGCTGTCACACTTCGTGCTCGCAGGAGCACCGGGCTTCGCCATGTACAAGACCCTTGCATAAACAAAGACGGCCACTATATGTGTGTGCAAGAGGGGGTGACAGCTTTGAGTTCAATGCAGAAGTGTGAATGCTTAAGCTGCATCTGCGACACAAAGCCCGGCCCTGTGAAGCCAAGGAAGTTGAAACCCCTTCAGACAGCCACGGCGCACGAGGTCAGCTGTGCGAAGATGGCACTGCTGCTGGTACTTGAAAGAAGGGTTGCGACAGGTGGAAATCTGAGGCTTGGTAAGTTGATGCCTTCCCGGTCGGTTGCGACCAGTCTCAGACTCCCGAGGTTACCCGTCAAGAAGGGCTCCATGGAAGCCAGGCCAGTTCCGCCTTCCTCGTGTCAGTTCCGTCATAGTGAGCCAAGATTACATGTCGAGGTGCCGAAGCGGGAACGATCTTGGTGACGGCTTTGAGCACCTGTGAAGCAGTCAGAGCACTTCTTGTGGGTGAGTGCTAGGGTACACGAACCTGTTCGATCGGGTTTTGGCCTAGCAATGTCGGACAGCCTGAGGTACATCTTCAACGTGGGTGCAGGCACTTCTGCTGCGGACTGCGGCGAAGTGGCTCGCATGCAGTGGACCAGGTCCCAAGGTGAGGCCCTCTGGGCCATTTGGGTACATGCTCACAAAGTGCCTTGCATCTCAGGCGTCTACCTGTGAGTGTTGCATGCGCCCGAAAAAAGCAGAGGCTCGTTCGACGGGCAACAGCGTTGGGCGGACGTGCGAGAGAGTGAGAGAGACAGAGCGACCCTGAGGATGGGCCTTGGCCGGTGGCCTCGAAGAGCAACACACGCTGCAAAGTCTTTGACGTGACAGCGAAGGCCGAGGGCTGTAGTTTCCGCGGATCCGGTGATCTCTGAGGCGGTCTGACCCTGTTTGTAGGTCGCTGTCAACAATGTGGGGGAGTGTCAGGGCAAGGCCGTCGATGCCGGGCCACTCGCATAAAATGGGAGAGAGATTCAGATTAGGACAATCTCTGAGCCAGTCCTGAGGCCTGAGGAAAAGATCAAACTATGACAAACAATATGAAAGAACATAAGCTAAACATACGAAAAAACGATGACCAGACCAAATTTCCAAACCCAGCGCCAGATTTCACATTGTTCTGGTTTTGAGATTTCTTCCATATTTGTTCACTATGTTTCGGTGGAGAGGGGGATGCAGGAGGCGGGGGAGCGTGGAATTGACCAGCCCCCGAGGGTAAAACGTTAAACATTTCTGCAATATATGAAATAAGTGTGAGAAAAATGAAAAACAGGAGCAAGGAAACATATGAACTCATTGAACGATGCAAAATCTGAGATAATTCTGCAAAATGAAATAATTTTGGACTGTGTGAGAATATGGACACTTTCTGCGGGTTTCCATCTGCTTTGATGAAGAGGGGCGGGACGTGGGGAGAGGGAGGAGTTGGTCAGCCAAAGGGAAAACATGAAAGAAGTCAAAGGTATATATTGATATGTCGCAATTCTTTGCAATACTTACGTCTAACAAAGTCTTCATACTGTTTACACATTCTTCTGGTCGGCTCATAATTTTTCATAGATATTTCATAATTCTGGCCTTGTGCAAATTCAGAAATTCCTTGATTTCCAGAGGTTAGCTGGACAAGATTTTCTTGAGATTCAGGTTGGATTTTCTTAGGCCGAGAAGTTACGGGGTCAGATTCGCAAAGCCCGGTGGCCCTCAGGCACGCCTTTTTCTCCCTATTCGATGTCGGCGGCCCAAGCGGCCGGAAGGAGTGTTTGACCTCCGCGACCTGCACTTTGGTCCAGGACCAGGGGAGGGGTGCAACCAAGCAACAAAGGCTGTGTAGGCTTCGGGCTTGAAGATTGCAGGAGGCACGCGGCTGGCGAGTCTACGGCCGGCATCCAGCGGGACAGCAAGAAGCCTTCGGCCGTGGGAGCGCTGCACTGGGCATCGCACAAGGTCGCCGCTTCAACTTCCCATACCTTCAGCTGCTTTTGCTCTCCTTATCAGGTGTGTCAGAATGGACAGAGATTGCAGAGCCGAGCCTGGCTATCTCCAAGCTGGCCGGATCTTCAGAACCGCAGACGGTTGCTCGCAGCACTCCTTCAGTGTGCACGTGTTTTAAGGTCGATGGCCTCGATGTGACGCCCCTGCGTGCCTGGGGCCGGCAAGCCGTGTGGGTGCGAGCCGAGGCTCAAAAAGTTTCAGCGAATAAATGCGGCATTCGAGCGAACATCGCACCTTGAAAGTCGCGGCTCCCTGGTTTCGTCTTTGGAAGGTGCCCGGCGAAGTGGGCTGCATCAAGGTCTTCCAGAGCGCGGCAGAGTCGTTTTGCCGGCAAGAAAGGAGAGGAATCTCATTGCGGATTCAAAGGGAGGAGCTGAGGACTCCAGGGTTCACTCCAGGGGCGGCATGTCTCTGAGGTTCTCTGGCTGCCGTCCCTCTGCCGCGGTGCAGGTGTGACGATCCGTGCACGGGTGTTTCTAGGTTGTGTTGTCCGATCTCGCAGGTGAAGCGCCGCGCGGGGCCAGGCCTACGATTTGCCAGCTGCAAACAGAGCTCGGAGCGTTTCGTAGCTGTCAGCTTGGCAGCGTTGTTAGAAGGTGCTGCGTGGATGCGCTTGGCTACAGCAGTTTGGCCGAGCACCTCACCAAGCTGGATACGAATTGGCCTCGCAGAATCCCGGTGCGTGGGGACCAAGAACAGGCTCGGGAGACGGGCTCAAGCCGTGTCCAGCTCTTTTCAAAGATGAGCAACAAGCATTGTTCAGGCTTTGGTGCTTGTGCAGAGAGATCTGAGGAGACGATTCTTAGGGAGTTTCGACATCTTCCTTTCCTTGTACAGGGATTTCAAGTCTCTTGAAGAGCGGGATTGTTGAGCACGTTTATGTCTGCTTTGCGATTGGGGTGCCCGTGCTGTGAATCAGGCAGCAGCGTTGTCTGTCTGTCTGCCTTCGTGCGTGTGTCTGCGTTTGTGAACACCGGCCCGCATATACTGCCCGCACCAAGGACATGCAATGCCTGTTGAAATTTTAATGTAAAGAGCCTCCCCACTACTCTCAGAAAGTAGTTCGAACGCAGGCAGAACCACGTGAGGGTTGATGCAGTCTGGTAGGGGGTCCTTCCAAGTTCTCTCTGCAGGGAGCTGCCTCGCGGCTTCTCGGCTCCCTCGAAGGTTCCTGTTCTGGTGCCTTGGTGAGACGAACCATCACTGGACGTTGTAAAATAGCCTGTTCAAATCAGACTCTGAGATGCCTCGCTGCTGGCTGCAAGGCACCACTTTCCATCGCTGACATCTTCCGGGGCGCTGCCGCAGGGGATTGGGGCCCTGCAGCAGAAGGCGGCCCTATGCCGGTTGTGGGGCCTGGTAGTGCGTTTTTGCTCAAGAGTGCCCTTGACGAGCGCGAAGTCGATGTGTGATGTGCAGTTGCACGCAAAACGCCGTAAGATGAGGTTGGTAAGAAGCATGCTTGGTTGCTACTGCCGTGCGATCACCGTCCAAAAGCGCACCTTTTCGATCACAGAAACTGGCCGTGCAGGCAAGCATTTCATTGCCGTCACCACATACCCGAAGAAGGACCACGGGGTTGTGGGTTTCGGGTTGCAGGTATTCTTGTAGAGACCACACCCCAACCCGTTCCACAAGCAACCTGTGCCAGAGGACGGCTCGCAGGGATTGCGCGTTCTCTTCGGCGACAGGCTCTACTAGAGGGATTCTTACCACCTGTTGCCTTGTTGAGTTGTCGTCGTTTGCCGATTTCATAATTAGCTTGTTTCGTCTGTCTGTGTGTATGTAATATCGCGTTGTCTCGAGTAGCCCTTTCGAACTCTCTGCTCATACTTCCGCTTTCGATCCTTGTGCAGTGTTTTCCCTTTGCTTCCTGAGTTTGGTGTGCTTGCGTCGTGGCGATCGGCAGCAGAACCCCTTGCGCACCCCTCACCGTCACAGGCTTTGCAGGAGCCATCGGGAGCTTCCCAAGGACCGCACCCCGAGAATGCAAGGTCAAAAAAAAAGCTTCGTGCAGCGAGCAATTCACTCCGTTCGTTTTGTCGCAGACCACGGACTGCCATAGCTTCGGCACGCAAGGGTACTGAGCGTGCTTGTGTTTGAAACGGCCGCGACGTGCACGAAGCCTTTTTTGGAGACTGATGTCTGATGTTTGTCTTGGTGTTTGTTGTCAACTGGTCCTGCTGCCGTGGATGTCACTTCCAGAAGTGGTTGTTCGTGTTGATCGCTTTACCCTTAACACACTTTCACCTTGGCGTTGCAAGCATACAGCATCAACTCTGTACCCGGAGACAGTGTGTCAGCTGGCAGGTATCCCCAGACGGCACCGGCGGTGAACCTTCCGCCGTCAGACTGCCAGTTTGGTGGAGGTTTTGGCAGCTCGCCTGGCTACAGGACTACCTGGTACTGGTCTCTATATGGCAAAGTAGGCTGCCTGTGTTTGGGCTAGGTGCCGAGCATCACCACTATGTGAGCTTCATTTCTACTGGGTCCTACCATATTCTCGGAGCGAGCCGTCTGCGAGTTCACGGCTCCCTGAGTATCTGCGTAGCTGCACGGGACATGTAAAAAATCCCTTGCGACCAGAAGCCAGGAGGCATCCTCAAGTCCAAAAAAATGTCCTTGAGCCTTCGCCTACGAGCGTATCAGCTAGCCTCAGGCACCGGCTCGATGCCTCTGCTGCAGGCCAGGAAGACGAGGCCGGAGCATCAAAGTGTGAGAGATCTTGGATATCCCAGCCAATTCCCCAAAAGCAACCCGCAAACCCGAAGAGGCCTCTCTCGTCTCTCCTCTCGAGGCAGGTGAGCTGGCCCGGAGCTACCTGGAAGATCTACGAGGGCCCCTTGGACTTGGGCTCACCGTAGCTTCGGAGGCTGCGCAGTCGCCGAGAGCCAAAGCATGGACCGATGCACCCACCTCGGGGCGTGAGAACCTGACCTTGGGGCGAAACGGCTCAAGTTTCAGGCTTCGAAGCCGTGACCCACTTGACAACGCTGTGCTGTACTAAACCTGCCGCCCGCCATACCGTCATTGCTTTGAAGACCCAACAAGAACAGACAGCCAAAGAAAGTCCCTTCAAGAGCTGTGGAATGGGGCTCTCGAGCGCCCGATTACAAGAATCCGGTTCAAAAGCCGAGATCAGAAAGTTCGACGGAGTAGGGATCCATTGCGGTTGCTCGGTAGCATCCCTCTCAGGACCGATGACGGTCTCGATCGACTTCGGGCACAGCGATGAGAATGTGAAATGTGTAGACCCTGACGAGGTGGGTGCGGCTCTGGGCTGGAGACAGATACTTGTCGCCGCATTGAAAAGCATTAGTTGCAGGCTGCGGCATGTGATGCGGAGGTGCGGAGGGTGCTGCAAGTTGAAGTGCCGTGCTTCCTTGTCTCGTCTCGCTGTGTTGTTCGCACGAAAACCACCATCTGCCTGGACATTTTTTTCAGGGCTACGTGTTTCACGTGCTGCTTCGGGTGTTGGAAAGAGCTTCGTGGTCTTGCTGGCCAGTTCCGGCTGAAGTTTCGTTGCCAACGCCTTCCCATGTCCTCTGTGAAAGGACGTAGAGGCGATTTTACGTGTTCGTATTGTTCTTCAATGGCTCCTCCAGCCGATCAGCGTGTGTGCGCGCGTGTGTGTGAACTTTTCGCGACGGAACCAGTACCGGTACCGTTGACCTTGTGCTAGGCTGGGCCCCAGGGTGTCCACTGACGGGATCTAGGCCATGGCAATGAGCGCACGTTTTCTGGGGGCTCCGACGGCTCCTCCCAGCGGCCGTGACGCTGTCTAGCACATGCGAGGTTTTCGGCCCAAACAGTCACGGATGCGGTCTGAGAGATACCTGAAACTACCTCAAGCTGGGTGGGGCAATGTCGAACCCTCTGCGGACGTGTTGACTCATATGTATCATTCTATTATCTTCACGGCACTTCGAGTCACTGCTGGAAAAGACTGGGAAAAGAACATGCCAGTGAGTTTCTTTACATTCGTCCTGCCTTGCTGCAGATGCTCTTACAGGCTGGCAACCACCGCGGAGACGACTTCCCGGACCGCTTCACCATCTTCGACATGGTGCGCCAAGAAGCACTGTAAGCTCGATCCCCATGGTTTTCCGTATGCTTACTGCACGTGCACGTCGTGACAGCACGAGAGCAGCAAAGTCTTCGTTACGTTGTGCACTATGAGAGACTGTCCGGTTTCAGCGGCCACACGTCGCCATTAAGTGCCTGGATGCAACTTCGAGGCACATGTGTGCCGTGCCTGTGCAGACCGAGCCATCTTTGCAGGATGGTCAAGTTTGTGCCAAACGTGGAGACGAGCCAAATGCATCATGGACCTCAGAGCTGCGTCTCATCATCTCGTGCCCTGGCTTGGGTAACTTCAGAAGCGGAATGAAGCGGTTCTGGGAACTCGGCCGAGGTGCAAGTCCGCCTCCGAGGCTGCGCGTGCACCTATCGCGGAGGTCGGGCAGCTGCTTGGGAGCCCGGGTGGCCTGGCTTCAGATGGCTTGGGGCATCCAGATTACCTTGCCCACTTCGCTTGATGCAGTGCCGTCAAAGGAAGCTCCCTCAACTGCACCTCATCTGACACACCGGCAACCAGGCCGCACACAGTGTCATAGTGGTGATGCCTCATCATCCAAGCGCCGCACTCCGCAAACCATGTGGGGTAGGACTGTCCAGGCATAAGGCATTCAACACGGGTCCAATGGAATTTGTTTTTGTGATTTTCGTGTCGAAGCCGAACAGGGCGAATGGAAGGTGCAATGATCTTGCAGGCCCTCTGGGCCTAGAGTTTCGTCCTGTAGCAATGTGAAAGACTCCACACGGCACAAGAGAAACTTGGCACATGGGCTGCTGTGTGAAAGCAGATGGACCTACAGAACTATGCTGCAGTCTCAGATTCCGACAAGAACATGTGGAAATGCACCGTTCAAGGAGCAAATGTCACGAATTCGGACAGGTTCGCTTCAGTGCTTTCTCATTTTTCCTGTTTACGTGTTTCCTGAAAGTCAGCCTTTAGCTGGCAAGCGAACGACTGTCACAGTTTTCAGTCGCACCATGAGGCGATTGCATCGTCTGAAAGCCTGTCTCATCATGTCTCCAAATCGTGCTTCAAGTCTTGCAAGCTATGACGAGTGCCAAACACCACAGAACGGCCAACAGCATGGATGTCATGTGCATTCAGCTGATATTGCCGGTCAAGCATGATTGTTACCGCGTGTCCAAGACTCCACATTCTAGTTATAAGTATAATAATAATAGTAATAAGAACAATAACAATAATAATAATAATAAAAATAGTAGTAATAATAGTAATAGTAGGAGTAGTAATAATAGTAATACTAATTAACCCACCCATTCGACCTCCAAGGCTTTCTGCTCAGCAGATGCTGGAGATGACCGCTACGCCACCTGGCGTTGTTGTGGTGCTTGTAAGGGGGGCCACTGATTTGAAGAGTTTCCGAGTCGGCAAGATACCCGAGGACGCTTTCCCTGCGAAATACCTCACATACTCCACAGGACAGTTGTACGGCTGCATCCATCCTCTTGCATTGGAGTTTTGGATCCTTTTTCATTGCAGGAAGTGAGGTCTGCTCTGTCGCCACTCAAAGTCCGGTGCCAGCCCAGCTGGCAACCTCCTGCATGGCACCGGGACTTGCAGCTGTCAAGGACGGAAATCTAGTGCTTGCAAAGCTTGCCAGCAATTGTTGACGCTGTTGTGTAGCGTGAACCTTTCGAAGGATGTGCGGACTGCAGTGGTGATCGGCTCCGGCGTCGATGACTTGAACCAGAAGCTGGGCTCTGGCTTTCGCCCCTGCTTTAACCGCAAATTTTAGTCTGGCTCCGTTACCCCTCCTTTGCTTCGCACGTTGATGTTTCAGATTTCTGCGTGGTGTCAATGTGTGATGACGTGCGACAAAGGAAGTGCACCATGCCACCGATGCCGGTGACCTGCGATCGCGAGGCCTGGCCTTGTTGCAGCGCAGTCTTCCGGTAGCGACGTATAAGTGCATGCTACTCTAAGTGTGTTGCTCAGCAGAACACTTAACAAGCCGACCATGGCTCTTGGCGCGGAGTGTTCTGTTGCGTCGTGTAAAGTCATGACCCCACCTTGGTTAAACACGTCGTGTGTTCAGGCAGCAACGCATCGGAAGGATCCGTTCAGCCATCGATTTGATGTTGTTCCTTTACCAGGCGCGGTGATTCATGCACTGGCTGCCTAGGTTCTGAGTATCATGTATGGAGAGCATGCACATTGCCGCAAAAATCAGGCGGCCAGATCTGTGCCGTCCTCACCCATGCAGCGCCCGATTCGGCAAAGAGGCTGCGGTTGGAGAGGGCTGGTGCTGAGCGGGTTTAAGCGCTTCGAAGACGGACCGTCGAGCAGTGTGCGGCCGAATTGCTGCATCACCAGACTTCTTGCACATGCACTTCACCCATGCACCGATTGAGTTTCCGAAGAGTGTCGGACACTCTTCAAGCTGCCAGGGCTGGTCCAATGCTGCTTGCCGAGGGCAGCCAGGGTTCAGGCAACCTGGCTGTTGTTTCCATCAGAGGTGCAGCTCGCAGCATATGCAAGAGCATGGGCCATCGCTTTGAAGCTGCTGTGAGTTTCCAGGCAAAACCGTCGCTGGCAACCGCTGGCTCCAGGGCCGGAAGACCTTCAGTGGTGTTCGAGGATCACAGGAGATGTGTGGACCAGGTGGGTGTTCTTCGATGTTGCTAGCACATGTCAACGTGGTTCTGCGCAGTGCCACCCGGCCCGACTAAAATACGGACAGCTCCTACCAGTGAACACGGTTAAACGCAAAAGCCTGAAAGGATCCTCCGAAGGCTCCATGTGTTGCTATACGCATGACCTGAGTCAGCTGTGGTCAGACATGCATGCTAATCCTTGTCGCCGTTGTGAAGTTGGTGTCCTCATCACATCTTCGCACCTGCATGGGCTGCGAGGGTGTGAGCCTCTGTGTGTGTCTCTCCTTGAATAGGGACTGTTCTCTGCAAGGGTCCCCTGCAACAGTCGATCCCAAGCCTACCGCGCTCCCCAGTGTGAGCAAGATTCAGCAAGCCTTCAGAGAGGTGATTCAAGCGGCACCTACCTCATCAGAATCTTCATAGAGCAAGGAGTCCGTCATCAGGCCAGAAAAAATTCCCTGTTTCAGCATTCAACAGGCTGAAGGTAGAGAGAGTATGGTGCGGTTGGATCTTGTTTCTGGTTTCTGTTGTCGTTTAAGAAGCAGGAAGTGAGCGGTTGCATTTCGTCTTTGGGCCTTGGCTTCTGAGAGCACTGGTAGCATAGAAGCTGCCACACTGGCCTTGGAGGTTGGAGTTGCCAGCCGCGCATGCTGCGATCAATCGACGCAGTCAGGGAATGGTACACAACTGCGGAAGAGCAGCTTGGATGCAACGGTATGACTGGCATCGCAGCACTTAGACGCATAATAAGAGACGTAACAAATTGCCGCATATCACGAGGCAGGGGAAAGGCCGAACACATCGTTGGTTGTTGTGAATCTTGGTATACCTTTGCCATGATCTCCTGATTTTCCTTCAGAGGCCCCATCTTCTAAGTGTTCGGAGACTTGGGAGGATCAAGACACATCAGAGGGTAACATAAGTGTTGCCCAGACACTAGCATCACTCAGTTCCGGTTCTTCAGTCAGGAAAGACGTGACTTGCTGTTTTTTCGACACTGATCTTGACGTCGATGATGGCAAGCAAAGCATAGTAGGGCGAGATTACAATCTGGCTGCAGGTAAACATAGTCTGTGAATTCGCACGCAAGCACAAGTTCTATCATAGATACTATGCTTACAACCGCACTGTATGGTTGCGTTGTGAGGGTCCCGAATAGTCCCAAGACTTGCCAGTGATCCGTCAACCGGTCTGCCACGCCCGCCTCAGACTTCGCTGCTCTCGCTTCGGCGCCCCGGGGCTGGGAGGCCCAGAGAGGGGCTGCGACACCGGCGGAGGCGGGGCTTTTTCGTGATCTTGCCGGGAGTGCGGTGAGACTTTCGCGTGGGCTCCTACGCCGTGCCACGAACTAGCCGCTTCTTTGTCTGCGTAAGTCCTTGGTTCTTACACTGATGATCGAAATCCAAGCCTGCATTAAACTTCAACCATGCCTAGCAGCCTTGATGAGCGACTTTCGGGAGCAAAAGCCAGCATTCCACCTGACTGCTAGGAGCCTGGAGTGAGTTGGTTTGACGGTTCCTGGGATGGGCCGCGAGCAGTGACAATGGTGCTCTTGACGGCAATAGCCAAGGTCAGGCAGGGTGACACGCGCAGTGACAGATCGCGAGACGTTATCAAGGTAGTCTCTTGCCTGAAGCGCTCCTTCACCCTGGGCCTGGATGGCGGCGATGACTTCCTGGGGGACTTGATGGGAGGGTAGAGGGCAATCATGGCACCCCCCCCCCCACAAACGCTCCTTGATTGGTCGCCACTAGATCAGGTCTTGGGTGATGAGATCTTGAACTGATACTTGCATGATTCATCGTCGTGTGTATCCGCTACATTGACTCGAAACTGGAAACCCTACTCTACAGTAAATTCCAGCCTTTGCTTTTTTGGAATTGGCAGGAGATGCTCTGGCCAGACACCTGGGGTGGTGTCTATACCTTCGTCGGTGGAATCGATGGGGACCGCTTTCAGTCCCGAACAGCCTCATGGGGTTGCCCTTTGCGAGTCTGTTGTTTGGTTTTGGCAGGACCACATCTACCGAGTCGAGTGGGCTGCTGCAGCATCTTGGTCGCTGTTCGTTTCGTGAAGCGACACTCTGAGAACCAAATTGATGGGACTGCTCCCGTTTTGTTCAGGCCTTCGAAAGCCAGTTCCGCTGTGCGGAGCTCCCAACTGAGCAGGACACCACGGGGCAAAAGCAAGACCCAAGACTCTGACTGACAGTCATAGCCGTGGAGTTGCCGCTGCAAATGTGGACAGAAATTAGCTGGACAGGGCTTTCCGCTTAGCGGCGCCTACTGAAGATTCACCTCACCTGACCAGTTACGGCTGAGGAATGAGATGATCAATGTACAATTATACCTATACTGAAACCCGCCAGAAACCCCAGCTGCCATGATATGCTTTTAACATCTCACAGCGCGTGACGCTCCAGGGCAGCGACGCTGAGCGCTGCCTCCGCGGCAACGAGCTGGGAGATGGCCAGGAGCCGCTTGGCTAATCGATGCCCTGAGCGGATTAGCGTTCTTAAGGAGGGTGTGAGACGGAAAGGCACTCAGACATACTCAGGCAACACCTTCCGGCTGGAAGTCTTGCTGCTTTTCGCAATACAACTCAGTATAACATGAGGTTTGATTCCAGGGAAGATTCGCGGGGTGCCACAAGTAGCAACTCTAGCAGAATTGGCAAAACGCAGGGAAGTAGCGGAAATAGGAAGTGATGGAAAGACATAGCCGCCCTTCAGGTGACCCTTGACAAATGCATTCAAGTGCTGTGCCTTTGGGGGACGTCGTTCTCAAGACACACAGCAGAGCCGTGGGGGAAGGTACGCCTTCAATCTGGGCGAGTCGCCCAATGCACTGTGCAGTGGAGGCTGCGCTTGCTGCTCGAGGAAGGCTGTGGCTCGGGCCTGATCAGAAGCGGGCTCGGAGAGTCGCACAGGCTCCAAGGAGTGTGCCTTGTCAAGCTGCCGAGGTTAAGGGGCTGGGGCCCATGATTCGAGCTTCTTGGCTTTGCACGAAGAGCCGTCGACCATCATAGTCCGTGCCGACAGTAGAGCGAAGCTCTCGTCACGTCCAGAGCTTGAGCCTCTCCAGGCGCTGGACAGCTTTGACTTCGTTGGAAACGGCTATTGGTCTAACTTCAGGCGGAGAAGCGGAACCCTTGATTGGGTACGGGCGGGTAGGTTGCTTAATGGGTCCCTTCGGCCAGAACGCAAACCATTGATATCAGCCCTTGGACAGACTGCATTTCCATAGAATGGACTAGAGGCGCCTTCAGCTTGAAGTTGGAGAGGAGTGTAAGCATCGCCCTTGCGGGAAGGGATGGCTTCTCCAGAATCGGCATGGAATACTACCTGCTCCATGGCTTATCTCTGCTGTCGGCGCCTTCTTCACAACTGAGCCACGGGGCCCCAAGGCCGGTGGACGCGCCGGGCTGCGAAAGCTGTGCCAGGGAATGCTTGAACTATCCGGACGATGTGACTTGGCCTCGTGAGCGGCCTTGTAAAACAACTGCATATCGAAGCCAGGTTTGCAAACGGATAACCTCTCCGGTACCTAGATGTGCACCAGCGAGGCTTGCATCGCATTTAACACAGACGGTGGCGACTGCTCCAATGCTGCGAACTGCATGGTCTACACGGAGCGCATGGCTCAGGGAATCACTGAGCTCTGATCGTCAGCCGTGCCTGTCACCCGAACTTGTGCCTCGCTTGGTCAGAAGGCTGGGCACGCCCTACTCGCACGAGATCACGCGAGCCTTCACCCGGAAGCCAGCCTCCGTGACGACCACGGCCAGCCCGACGACCGTCACCACCACGAAGGCCCGAGCGGCAAGCGTTTCGGTGAAACAACTCTGGCTTCGAACCTTTAGGCCTGGGACTTCGAGCTGGCTCTCAGCTGCAGCCCAAAGCGGGACAAGGAGTGCACACAAAGAGACGCTGAGAAGCGAGACTCCGCATCGTCTGCAGGTGGCCTTCTACAGCGTCGGCTCGGGGACTTGCCAGGATCACGACACGAGGCGAGCTTTGCACTGTGCAGCTTGAGACGTTCTTCTTGCAGGATGCCCAGGGGCGCGAGGCAACCGCTGCCTCACGACCGCTGAGCACAAGAGCAGGCTGCGAGGCGCATTGTGAGGCACGGCAGATCAAAGCACAGTGGAATGTCGCCCTGAAATCCCACCCAGCTTGAGTTGCCTGATATGTCCAGAGCCACAGCTTGGTAGGAGATGTCTGAATGCCTTGGCTACTTCATCCAACCAGAGCTCTGCAGCTTGCCTGGACTTGACGCTGTAGCTTACAGACATGAAGGCCAGTTCTGACTGATCTGATGCTTCGGGGTCGGTCTTAGGCTCCCTCCGAAGAAGCGAGTGCTAAAACGGTGACGAACTTTCAACGATTAGGTGTGCAGAGCGTTGCTGTGCTTGACTCGTGACTCGAGTGCGGAACTGCGCGCTCAGAGCCCTTCTGCGAACTCGAAATACATGAGCTGCGCATTGATTCTCTTGCCAAGGTACTCTGTATCTGTCCTCAAGCTTGGACATCCCAGATGGTTGGAGCTGCTAGGCTTGAGGATGCTTTTCATGCTTCTACGAGTTGGGGATCGGGCAATGGCAAGTGTCTAGCAGCTGTCAATGAACAGGATGTAAGCTTGTGGCTGTTTTCTTCACTACAGCTCTTCTGCACTCGGTTTCATGAGGCTTGGAAGCCAACTTGGATTCCACCGTAGTCGACATCGTACAAGGCCGGGAAGTGCTGAGGGGAGGCTGCCTGCTCACTCGTCTGACCGAGTTGGCGACAGCTTGAAAATCTCGCCAAGGCTCGGCTTAGTGTAGACATTGGAAGCTGTGATGGCAGGTTCTGGCACACCAGCTCTTGCAAACTGTATGAAGAAAGGTGCAGCCCTCGGTCGGGAAGAGCTGGGGTCGATGATTCACTTGTCTGTGCGTGTTTCAAGCGTGTGCTGCAGATTGTCCTTTGCTCTCTATCACGACCTGCGAGGCTTGCATTACTGTGGATGGACACCCAAGCCTTCAACTGGAACTCCCTTGAACTGTGGCGGCTCGGCTGTTGAGTGCTGCTGAGAAGGTTGCGAACTCTGCTTTGTTTCTCATAGGGGGACATCTTCTGGTAAACATGGGTGGAGGTCAGAAGCACGCAACGGTAATTTGAAAGGGAGCCGTGCCCCAGGTCTCGACTCACCTGACGGAGACGGATGCAGCCACAGTGGCTTGATTCAACTGGACAAAGAGAGACATATGGGCTAGTCGAGCCATCCTAGCCACATCCTTCAGCAGCAGTCTGTGTGCACTGCATGGACTGGCTACGTAACCTGAGCCATTCTCCACATCTGGACAGCTTTGGAGCCAAGCAGGTTCATGCATCGACGTCCTGGCATGCCAGGCCAGGCATGGTCGTGTCGCTGTCGGGTTGCAGAAATTTGGAGTTCAAGGGGATGCCTGCAAGTCCGAAGGAAGGTCCTGCCCGGAAATTGCAGGCGGCTTGCGATCGCTGTGCAGGATGCGTGGGCTTTTCCTACCAGGCAAGGCAGAGCTTGGGGGCTTTGAGTCTGGCCGAGCTTGTTTGGGCGGAGCGCAGGCCTTGTCGGACTCCGGAATCCGCTGCTACATGAAGAGCAGCCGCATGGCTGAGGAAGTTAGCAACACACCGCGCCAAAACGATCGTGTGAACATGCTGCTGAGCCGAGGCTGGGACCACTCTGGAAGAGCCTCTCGACTTCATCTCGTTTTCAGAGTTGGTCCCAGTTGCAGCATAAGTCGAGGAGGCTGTTTCAGAAGCAGTGCCGCACTGTCGGATTGAGGACTTCGTGTCCTTGGCGCCCGACTCTGCGAGCTGGCAGTCTTACGTCAATGCCCGACACGGCGCTTGTGCGGCGACTCAGAGGTCGGGCGGGGACGGTCCTTCTACAGACATCTAGAGTCTAGAGAGATTGGCGCTGCCTTTCAAGCCGCGACTCCATGAGATTCGGTGATCTATGTACGTTGCGACAGACAGAGTTTAGCAGTCTGTGAAGGTAGTGCTTTTTGATACGCGGTGTCCGAAAGCGTTTTTGCCAATTCGAGCGTTTGCTGCCAGAACGGTGCACTACTGTGGCTGGACGAAGCAAATCGCGCGGTCTGCTGCAGCTCGGATGCAAAGGTTCTCACGGTTTCTGGCTACTGATCGTCGTTGAATGGCACCATTGCCATTGGGGAATTTCGGTCAATCACTCTCCAATTCGAGGGCCACCCGGCAAGCTTCTGTCTCTACAGACAATAGAGATTGTGCGGTAGCGGCTAACCCAAACACCTCTCCATGAGGCCGGGATGGTGAACAGACCTGGCAGGTTCCCGTGGACTGTGGCCTCCAGTCACCGGGCGGAGAGGGCTGCAGCACCGAAGCGCTGGGGCCCTGGTGACACCTGGGCTCTCGTCTCGGAGAGCAGAGCTTCTCGTGGATCTCCACCGAAGTGCGGCTGTCGGGACACAGTTCCGTACTCGACATTCCTGCTCTTGGCCATCCGACCCAGATTCCACGGTGGTAGGGAGTGATGTTGGAACATCCCTTTGGAACCCATCCGCGCCTTGCGCAAAGAAGCGATCCCGGACGACTCCATGTGCAGAGTTTCAGACTGCGAATGAATGAGGCACCAGAAATACAGGCATTTCGTGCATGCCAGCACCAGCCAGCAAGGGAGTTCGCTCCTTTGTGGCGAGACTTTGCGCATCCGCATCGCGATGCGCAAATCACTCCGCGAAACCTTACCACCTCGTCAGACACAGCAAGTTTGTAGTACGACGAAGTAACATGGAAGCACGAATGATATCGGTGGGAGGACGGAGTAAAAAGCCGGCCAGGCAGAACAGATTCTACTGCATGTCCCATCTACAGTTTCAGCATGCTCGCTCTGAGTGGTTGCTTCGGTTTGAGGGGATGTGCATGCATTTGCGCGGCTTCACTGCATGACAGCCTGAGAAAGTGGCATGGTCTTTCCATTAAAGCAACCACGCATGGCCAAAATTTACATGCCCCGTCCTCATCCTTCCCCATTCATGCGCTGCTAATCCTGAACCACAACACTCGTTTGGGCTGGAAGTTCCGACGAAGCGTGGAACCCAACTGCACAAGGTCCACGGCTTTAAGACGTTAAAGGCGGGGAATGTTTGTCCACCTCCATCGCAAACGAAGTGTTCGAGAACCCTACCGATGTACTCTAATCTAACCTTTAGCTGTCGTGCACAGAAAGCCGAAAGCCTTTGAAGGCTCTAAAGTATTTCATCCCATGCCGTTTTTTTCTTGGATTCTTCTGTTTCCTTTCCTCTCTCATCACTTTTCGTCTAGTGGCTCCTCATGGCCTTGAGGTGTCCGGACTTGGCATCCTGCAAGGCTCGGGACGAAGTTCATGCAGAGTGCAAAGTCAGCGCTAGGGAGGGGGTTCCCGTTCTGAAGCCACATATGGGGGTTTCCGAAGATAGGGGACCCTAATATAGCACCCTAAACAGTAGGATCCTTATTATAAGGACCCCAAAATAAGGTACCCTAATTTTCGGAAAGTCCCATATGCCCCGGGTGCCGCCTGAAGCCTGAAGCTGCAGCTCTGGCTCGAAAGAGGGTGTTTAGGCCGTCTGACTTCCGGACCACCATGAAGCGCAAAGCCGAGGACCCGAGCAGGGTAGGTTTTGTTGAGAGTGGCGGGTCGCAGTCTCAAGGGCTTGTGCTACCGGCTACGGCTTCGTTCAGGTGGCTGTCTGAATGCCCTTGAAGCCCTTTTCGTCTACGCTTTTCGCAGGAGCCTGCAACCAGTCTGACTTGTCGCCCATGCGAATCAGGATGTTCCCGGACCACCTGCCAAGAAGAAGACAGAGGCCATGCGCTTCGCGAACAAGACGCATGGAGCGATATTGTTTGATTCCAGCCAAGGGCGGCGTTGTCAGAATGCTCGATGGTTCCGTGCCGTTTTGCCTGCGGCCTTTGTAAAGGCCACTTGCTCACAGGGCCTTTCCATGATTGCTACGAAGCGCGAAAAAGCGCTGCTGAGCCCATTTCTGAGGAAGCTTCTCGTCCAGCTCTGCGGCCGGGGCGACTTCCTGCGACGGTGGCGTCGAGTGCAGCTCGTGCGGGAGGTGCGCATCTACCCAGCGGATCAAGACCAAGACTTCTTCAAAAAGGGCTGCACTATGTCTCGCACTGAAGTGTACTCGCGTGCCGCACTGCATACCGTCGCAAGGCTTGCAGAGCAACGGTTCGTTGGATGTCTAGTGCCAGACCCCTGCTTAATTCCAAGCCAGGCTTGACAGCCCCGAACCGAACTAGCACTCGTCACAGCAGGCCCTTGCAGAAACGGCCGAGTGCGAAGGCCCAGCGGCTCTTGCGATGTGTTTGGCTGCTTGAAGCCAGATGCTTCCAACACGCCTGATGCACGCAGAAACCAATATCCTAGACTGTTGACCAGTTGGCCTGAACGTGACATGACACCATGCGTGCCGCTATATTCCGCTGTTGCAGATGATCTTTGTGCTGGTGCCCTCTCCACTTCCTTCGCCTTGGCCCTTGTTGAAGTCGCTAGTGGCCTCGCTGTCGGAGGCTGCCAGAAACTACATGCCGAAGGCCGGAAGAAAAAGTTCAAGGCCGGGGCTTGGCAGAAACTCGGTCTGTCCCGAATCCCGAATGCCATACATGCCAAAACTTTCCTGGTGAGGATCCCTTTTCTGCTGTCCTTTCCGTCGAGCACCACTTCCATGAGCCCGAGGAGAAGATGCGGCCCCGTGCATGACTTTTCACGGCACTGAAATGGAAGTGGAGCACTGCCGGTCTTTTGCCAAGAGGAATGTGGCCGCCTGGGTGTCCTTGTGCATGCCGTGGCGAACCAGCATCTCGGAAGGCGGAATAGAGTCTGTAGAGATTCATCAAGGGTTAGGGCCAGTATGCGCCGGCGAAAGACTCCTGCCAATTTCCAAGGCAGCATCTTCTGAATGCGAGCTGGTATTTCGAAGCTGCCGATTACTTGTGGAAGGCCGACGTTTGTCATCAAAAGGTACCAGTAGGTCGGCACTGCGCAGCTTTGGACAGCGACCGTAATCACAAGCACTGCAGCACGGGATCAGGGCATTCGACGAGCAAGCACCTAAATGCAGCCGCTTCACGACGTTGCAGCAAACAGCAGGGAGTTGACGAAAGACACAACTGTCCAAACCGCTCCCCTTGGCGATCGCATGCCGAATAGACTCGACAGATACAGTAAGGGAAAATTGCGATTCTGATTCTGCAAAGACGAACGTGATCAAAGTGCACAGCTGAGTCCGTTGCTGCTGCTGCTGCTTCTGCCCACACCGCACAGTCTGTGCAGGAGCAACTTGATGTCTTGTTTGATGAAGGAGGGTGTCTTTTGCAGCTTTGCATGGGCAAAGATGCTGTCCAGCTGATTGCTTTGGATCTCAGCTTCACACTTTGCATATTCTCCGCTTCTCCTGAAGCCCTACTGGTTCCGTTTGCAGGTCCTGGTCGAGGCCGGGGAGGTGCCGAATGCTGGAGATCTCAAGGAGCCGATGCGAGTCTTCGAATTGAAAAGCGAGCTGCACGGCTGGCACATGCTTCACACCTTCCGTCAATGAGGAGGGTTCCAAGGAGCTGCGCGACGAGAAGTGCGTGCGTCTCTGTGAGGTCGCGAAGCTGCCTTTGAGAGGTTTCGGATTCGTTCCACATGCTTGGAGGGCACGCATCGTTAGACTTGAGATAATTCAACAGCTGCAGGGGCGGCCGTTGCCGGTGCAGGAAGTGTGGAGTGAGTGTGTCCGGTTGGAGTGCCTCCCTGAGTAAAGTAGTTCAGATTCCCACGCTTCAACCGCTGCTCCTGGTGTACCGAGGTGGTCGATGTGGTTGCTGCTGCCGTCGGTATCCGGGCATACCATCGAGGAATGGGCGAACCAGGCGCTGTGAAGTCTACCTGCCTCGAGTTTCAATTGATCTGCAAGCCCTTCCGCCACTCCACCGTGTAGGTGACAGGCATCCAGAGTAGCCTTGGGATGTCGCACACAGACGTGCGCAGGTCCAGAGTTGCCATCCATGCCTGAGAAGGAGAGCGCAGCTGTTTTTGCATGTAGCCAGCATTACTCGTGTCCCGTGGTTCCCGAAGGCTTCAAGTACGCATGCTTGCTTGCTGGAAGTTGATCCTTGTGGGACCGGGTAACATGGGCATGGCTCGAGACAGTTTTGACAAAACTGGACGAGAAATGTAGCGTACCACGTGCTGCTGCGTATTTCGTCTCACAGTTGAGCGACATCCTATTGAGTCCCCACTGCAATTGACTGCAGTTCCTATGAAGCATACGCGATCTTCTTTCGGAATGTCACTTGGAAGACCCTTCAGATGCGTCGACATGATTTCATCTATGGCTTTTCGGTCGGAACGCTGGTAGACTTGCTCTCGATACTTGCTGCCGCCTTCAAAAACCCATCAAGCTGTCCAGACATGCTTTGGACGAGGGTTGTCTTGGCCATCCTGGCTGACCTGCGTCTCTGATGAATTCTACATGATCCTTCTTTGGAATCGCTGTGCTGAATGAAGCTGCCGCACTCCCAAGATCGCAGGACGAGATGCCCTACTTTGCACGAGTCACGGATATCTGCTCCTCCGGCCTTTCCTTTGACAGTAGCGGCTGGGGTCCACGACTGGAGGACCGAGCGAACGAAATGCTTCCTTGCTTGTCGTATCCTTGGTCGAACGGGATTGCCTGTGCAGGACAAGGACATCAAGGTCGATGTCTACGAGAAGATGGGCTTCTTGACAGTTACCTCCCCGGCCTTTGTTTACGTCGGAAATCGGCTGCTTTGAGGTCTTGTCAAGTCCGGGCCCGTGAAGAGCATCACGAATGCTTACGCTCCGGGCAGCAAGTGGGAGCCTGCAGTGACCACATCATATGCTCCTCGCCACAGATAGGAGCATCAGCGAACAGAGAGGTCTGTAACTTAAGTAGGCTTGTGCAGCCGGAGCCGTCCCATGGGAAAGCGTGTGTTTTCCAGGAGATCTGTCATTCCAGAGGTTAGATAAAAGTCTGCCCTAGTTCAACTCTTCCCTCTAGACTTATCTTGAACCTTCCCAAGGATTGTTTTCAAAACTTGAGGCGTAGGTCAAACGAACAGTTCAGCTAAAAAAAAGCTTAAACCTGATTCAAGTGTTTATTTGGGGGCTGTGTTCTGCCTTATCTGTGATAGACTTCTGCCAAGAGGCTAGTATCTACCAGAATACTTGTAGGATCTTGTTCGAATACCATTCTGAGTCCTGTTGGAACTTTCTTCCCTGAACCACCAGTGAACAGTGATGCATGATGTAGCTATTTGGTGTTGGTGTGGCATCCTAATTGATTGGCAAAATATGAGTAAGGGCAAACTCATAGTTTAACTCGCTGAGGATTGCAACGTTACTCCTCTGCAGCGGTCCACCTGTTGCAACTTCCAATGCGTTGAACCTGAGCATCTCCGCCCTCAGCGAAGCATTTCGTGACGGTTGTTCCTTTCTCTTCCGGGCTTTGCAATCTGCCTTCGTAGTGAGATGAAATGAGCAACGCAGCGGTTGCTAAAGCTGACCCATGTGAACTCGCTGGTGAAAAAAGCACAGAACAATGCTAGATGGTCACCGTGCGCAACGCATTGACAAACAAGCATTGATTTGGCTTCGCCCACATCCCGATTTGATTGTTTCCTGCCTTGGTCGTGTCAACTCTTGGATTCACAGCCGTCATTTCTGTTCTAATACACCATCCTTACGCCATGCCGGAAGTTGTCCCTCGCGAGGACTGGTTCACATGGTCGCAGACTGCTTATCCGCCGAACGTGGACTTCTTCCGTTTGCTGGGCAGTTTCGAGAAAGAAGGCTGACAAAGCATGTCAAAGCAGTGCATTCGTCGTGCCTGTTGAGCATGGGAGGCGCATCGATCAGCAGAGCAGACATGGAGAGTTGCTTGGCCTAGAGAGCCTGCAGTTGCTTTCAGTTCTGTGCCCTGGGTCGCGAGTTCGATCAATGCATCACCGACCTGCAGAGAGCTTGGCCTTGAAGCAGCATAAGACATGAAGAGAAGAGTAGCCTCTTGAAGGATTTGCGAGCGTCGTTGAGGGGAAGGGTGAAAAGGTCTTTTGAACCCATGCCGCAACTTGCCTTAGTTGCAACACAATATGAAGCCATGATGCCGCTGTGCAGGATGCTTGCACTCAGTTCTCTTGTTCTGATACGTCCGGACTGTCCGAAACAGAACCGGCAAAGAAAGATAATTTCACATCCTAGCCGAACGCGTTTCTTTTTGCTCAGGCTGGCTGTCAGTTTCGGGTTTACCTGTCGGGGGCTTCAAGGGCCTTGCAAGCCTCATGTTTGCGGTTCGGGTTTTGCGTTCATGCTTCAGGGACTGCAGCTTCCGTTTCGAGCATGAAGACGCGGACAACGATGCTTGCTGCGAGAGGTGGAGAGCGAACAACAGAGAGCGAAAGAATGCTTTCGAGAAGCCTCAACACAAAGCAGCATCAGAGCGCAACCCACCTTACGGTTCTGTTGCACTCCGCAAGCTGACAATGACTGGGGTCAGGTATTGCATCTGCCTACACGGCCGCCGTCAAATGCGCCTACTGATTTGACTGGCATGCATCGCTGAGAGACCCTTGCCATACAAAGACTATGTTGAGGTCTGGAACGAAATTGAACATGCCACGGAGTTTCGAGCTGCAGGCAATGTGTGCATAACTGACGCTGAAGTTGATTGGCTTCGATTGTGGCACCTAAGGATTTTATCCTGACCTTTGGAGGCCATCGGGTCGACAGATACAGTCAAGTCAGTAGCGGGAACTTAGCCTTCTAGACGCTAGGAAACGTTTTCGAGTGGCCTCTCGAGGTGACGGCACCTCAGAACTTGACCGTTGCAGGCGAACTCCACAAGGAGATTGGCCTTATGGTGGCGCTGGGACGAGCTTTGGGCAACGAACGCTTGCCGGCGGAGCCAGGCTTGGCAAAAGGCAAAAAGCCTTTGTACGGTTTTCTCTTTGAGCGCTATGGGCTTTGTTTTGAGTCTTTGCCTGAGAACAGCGCAGTGCAGGCAAGCCTTCACCACGGGAGGAAGTCGACCGTTGCGCGGCAGAGCTCAAGGCCAAACCGACCTAGGAAGTGCCCAGAAGTGTATCCAGTCTTGCCCCCAGCGGTACACGCGCATCGACAGATGAGGGCGGCACCAGACAAGAACATCAAGAACACATGAATGAACGTAACCATAGCGGACACGTGTAGCAAGCGTCCAACCCACGCAGATGGCTGCTGGTGACGAGATCGCAGCCAACGCCGCTGCAATCGCGGCGATGTTTGCCGCGATCACTATCCCAGCACCTGAGCGAACGATACGGAAGTTGGCGCTTTTCACTCGGCCAGGGCAGTGCATTACGGTCTGCCTTTGTATTCCAGAGAGGCCCTTCGGCTGCTTTGCAGATCCTTTGCAAGGTGGATGCGAGCGGCCACAGCAGCCCGGAGTTGGCTCGCTTGCAGCCGGCCAGGGCCTCAACAGGAGCCTTCAACCTCTGCCCAGTACTACAATCCTGCCCTAGGAGTCGAGCAGGAGCTATTGATAGCTATTGTGTCGGACTGCCTACGCCGACGCTGTCTCGATGTTTGAATTGTCTCCAAAGTTTGGCTTTGGAGGTGATGAACCGGATTGTGCGCTGGGCCAACTACACCAAGGCTTGCAGCGAAAGGGTTCGACAAGGACTGAAGCAGGCAGAATCAAAGCAAAGGCTTCCTGTTGATTACTGATGCTCTAACCACCGTTAGGAGAGCCTCACGGTTCTCTGTGAATCCAACTGGGGCACCTGGAAGGCCGCGGTCCGGCCGCTGCGGTGTTGCGCGAGGCGCGCCACAGCCTAGCTTGGGGCATGCCCTGGGCTTTGAAGGTTCGGGAAGGAACGGATGCCAGACCCTTCCTCGAGTACTCCTCAGTTGTGTGCAACACACGACGGGAACAGTTTTGCCACTCACGCCAAGTGAAAGCCCCTATTCGGCTTCAACTCTCCCACAACCTCAGAACGAATTGAGAGCTTGACTGGGGGTCCTCTGCGAGCAAGTGACTGGAGCTCTCCGGTGCTGGAAGCGACGGGGACATTACAGTAGCCGTTCCTGCAGTGCCACGTGAGAACCACGAGAGCTCGCTTTGGGCTACCTAGTTGAGAGACCTTGAAGTGCTGTTCTACAGGAGGCAGAGATCATTGTAAGCATGTTTTATTTTACTTTTTACGTTGTGGAGTTGTGCACTTGGCCTTGCCTTCTGCAGTGAGTGGAGATTTTGTAAGAGGTGTCCAGCCAATCTGGAAACCAATTGGTGTGCATCTCTGTCGGAGCCACGGTTGAGGCAGACAGAAGGTGTGCTCTTCCGCCCAGAGGACTTCAACTTGAGCACCCCTGTGCCGGACCGACAGAAGCAGCCGCTACAGTTGTGGGTGTCCTCCCTTCGCTTAGATTCTGTTTCCTAGAGCAGTTGTCAAGCTTCGTCTGATCAACCCCTCCGCTGTTGAATTGGCTCATCTTTCTGCTGCTGCCTTGTACTTGGCTCCAATCAACAGCTTCTACGGAAGTTCTGGTCAAACTTTCGCCGGCGGTTGACTTTCGCTGGCTGGGGCCCAACCCACCAGCCTACACCGCTCATGGCCTTAGCGGAGAAAAGGCACGCTTGCAGCACCGGACCTCATGTGGGCACGCGAGCCGAGCCATCTCAGCTGAGTGGTGCCTCCACCTTCATCTGTAGAGCCTGTAGCCAAACGAACGTCTCCGGAGCTCTTAGGCAGTCTTAGCAATAGGCAGTCCAGCTTGAAAGGCCCGTTGCAGTGCTTGTCGGGAGCCCGGGACAGGAGCCGGGGGTCGATTGCAGACTGTTGCGAACTTGGGTAGATCGCTTCTTTCCGTCGTTCTATGGGGACGGGAGCGGCTTTCATATACAGGCGCCTTCAAGAGTCATTTTGGCGGCCTCTTCTTGGCTGGCTTTGATTTTATTTGTTTTTTTTTTTCTGAGGTCGCGGGTGCATTGGCTTTGAGGTCATGGAGCAAGGAAACGGTGGATACAGGCAGGGTCACGGACTTTCGATGAAAGAGCACTGCTTCCTGATCCTGAGATTTCTTTTGTTGACATCCTCCCCCTTTTTTTCGCAAGCAGCAGGTGCTGGATGAGGTCTGCGTGGGAACATGACACGGACTACCAGTCCAGCAGCTTGGGCAACTTAATTAGGGCTTCGAGAGCACCACCTCGGCGATATGATGCAACGGGCTGCTGAGAGTCTGCTTTCCTTGTTTTGAACTCAACTGTGCAGTCGTGGAGCTGGTGTGACTGCAATGGAAGGGCAGCCGTCTGGACCATGCATGTGTGAGCTTGTGCCAGGCAATCCAGACAACTCATCGTGGCATCCCTACGTCAACGAAAGAGATGACCTTTGCAACCAGGAATTCGCTGAAGCTGTCTGCTCAACATGTTGCTCTAACAGACCCCTCTTTCTCACAGATCCGTTTCAATTCCGAGTACTTTCAGTTGTTGTGGGAGATCACATGTGCAGGTGTTGCTTCGGACTGGAATTGATCTGCCCTGAGTTTGAGTGCAATTCTCAAGCCACAAGCACAATCCACATATACTTTTCCATGGATTGTCTTTTGGCAAAAACGTGCAGGGCGAGCAGCGGTTTCTAAGTAAGCCTTTAAGCAGCTTTAAGCAGGATCCGAGCCTGCAGCAGCTGCGCGGCCAAGTTCTCAAACACGCTCCTTGACTGGACCATCTTCGAGGACGTTGGTTGGGTCAGGTTGGCGGGGCCTTGGAATGGATATTGGGTTGGAGCGGGAGCATCGGCTGCACTTAGCGGAACAGTTGTGCCACTGCTCAGGTGGAGGCCTTGCCCGGACAGAAAGAGGAGGGGCGAGGGTTATGTGCTTGGTGTCTTACAGGCAGAACTCTCCAAGCCTCTTGGTCTTGTAACCTCTTGTGATGCTTCGTAGGCTACTGCAGACATGAATCCGCTCCTCAAATTGTTTGCCGAGCGTGGCCCTTTTAGGAGGGAGATGAGCGAGCTTCAACATGCTTGCGGTGCGCTCGGGGAGGGCGGAATGGAAGAGGTAGCAAGCACCTGCAGAGTGTCAGAGCGCCTGGAGTCCAGGGCAAAGTCTCAACAGATGTTGCGACTCCAAATCCTCAGGCGGCACAATTCCATGGCCTACAGGGCCTACAGACACTGCACCTTCCATTCGAGAGACTTTCTGCATGTACAGCATCCTCGGACGCTTGTATCTCAGACATGAACTCGCCCTTGCGCTTTAGACATGCTGCACCTTACGCTTAAGCTCCAATGGTTTTTCACCAAGTTGGCCACGTTCGATGCCAGGTCCCAGATTGACCTTCAGACGCTTCCCCGGGGCGCGTGAGCCCGACTTCATTGGGCCAAAGCTCCGAGAAATCCATTGAATAACGGGCTTCAGCTCGCGACCATGCACAATGCGTTGTGAGTTCCATGCTTGCACAGGTACACACTCTACGCGGAAGTAAAGCCGGTCTCTTATCCCGACATGCAGACCGGTGTTGACTGGAGACTATTTTTGTTCTGAAGCCGACTTCTTCCGAGGCTTCAAGACTCAGCCGGCGGTCAAGTTATCACCTGGGGCGCGACTTGACTGAGAGTTGTCATTCTAGGCAAGACCATCAGTGTCGAAGAAGTAAGAAGACTCACGAAAGGTCTGGACGTTTTCGCAGTTGCGGCTCCGAAGAGCCGTCATCTCACCACTGAGGCAAACGGAGACGAGGCGGGTCTCCTCAGGGTGCATGCCCTGAGGGCACAGCTCTTGCTGGACGTGGCAGAAGCATGCCTCCGTGCACCAGAGCTGACTTTGCCTCGCAAGCAGAGACCACACTTGTTGCACTCGTGCAGCGACAGGATGCATGAAGCTAAACAGGCACTTTAGCTCGGGAATGTGAGAAGATGCCATGGATTTGAAGATCAAAGCCTGGAGCCTTTGAGTTCTAGACGCTCGAAGCCTGAACTCCGGCAGGGCCGCGCTGCCTCGCCTTGCCTGAAGGTGCGCTGTGTTGCAGGGACTCTGCGACTAGACGAGACAGATGAATTTCTAGCTTCTTTTGCAGAAGGAGACCGTCGTCAGCATCGTGCTTAACTCGAGACTCGAGACGTACCGTCCAGCATCTGTGCTTGCTTGCTAGAATGCCTTGGCAAACTCTGCGGGAAATTCATGTCTGGTGCCACTTCCAGGCATTCAGCACTCGAAGCCAAGCCGTTAAGAAATGTCCCGACATTACCGCGACGCACGTATGTGTGGCAGGCCCGCTATTGGGGCCTGGCTGCCGTTGAGGCTTCTGCGAATGGCTACTATGAGCCGGGCCCTCCGGTTTTTGTGACCTGCCAGACAACACACTGAAACCCTCCAATGAGGCCATTCTATTTGGACTTCTTCGAATCAGCGGACGGCACCGGTGAGTCGTTGCCAGCTGATGAGGTGCAGGGTTGACACCTGCGGTTGCCAAACAGACTTTCTCCGAAGGCCTGTGTTATAGTTATAGTCATAGTTTCTGCAGATTTATTGTTTTCAAGCTCGCCTGAAAATTGACACCTGGATCCAAGTAAGTCACGCAAGATGCAAGACTTGACAATTCTTGAAGATCTGGCATTCCGCATCTTTGTTTTGCCAGGTTTACATCCAAGGCCTCATCAGCCCTGGTGTGCAGATAACACAAAGCAATCGAGGGCGACACTTTCTTCAGTACAAGCCCAACCAGCTGCGGCCCAAGCTGAATTAGATGCAAGCCATGGAAGCAGTTCTTTCTTCGGGCCCATGCTCCTGTCTGTGTCTTGCAAGAACTGTCGGACTGGCAAGGCAGAACTGGGGTGTGTCTTGGACGGAGCATCAAGTTCCCTTGATCTACCGTGACCTGGGCAGCGCAAAGGCCAGCACGTTCTTTGATCACGTGAGCTTCTTTGTGCTTGACATGTCATTACAAGAACACGAGCAGAATCAGGGAAGTCGTGTTCGAGTTCTGCAATGCATGGAGGGCCTGGTGTTTGCCGCATTTCCGCCGCATCGACAGGTAAACTCTGAAAAGGGGGATATTCCAGTGAGAAGTGGCATCCTTGCAACGCTGTGGTGGGGCTGGATTGTCACGGTGGTGCGGTGATGCATGCATATGGGTTTGGCGAGGCTACAATAGCTACAGAGAGTCGCATCGGTTCATGTTGCTGTATCGTTCAGGGGTTGACTACATGATGCAACCTTTGCACAGGTCATCCGCTCTGCGCGACACGCGGCGCGTCCAAACCACGTTCCGCAGGAGACCGGTGCAGTTGCAGGAACTGAGCTTCGGGTTTTCTACCTTCATTCTGTGTTGTGGTGTGAGCCTGCTCATGTCCGGTCAAAAGATAGCTGTTTGGATGTTGCTTGGTAGGTATATCTGCACTCCATTCTGTTGACGAGCCTCTTGCGCATGCCATTTCCGCGGTGTTGCAGGAGGCTGTAATCGTTGCCAGCAACGATGGCATCGTTTGGTATGCAAGGCCACAGCCTTCGGCAAAACCGCCAGCATGCAGATTGCGGGTGCTGTGTGGTTCAGGTTCCGTGCAACTGGCGATTCAGCCCGCGAGCTGATAAACCAACCGGTGCAGTGTAAGGCACGGAGGGGCATCTCTGTGCGGAGCACCATCAATGTGAGGGACATGCTTGGTTCAGGACCCACTGTTCGTCCCTGAGCCCGAGGAGGGTTCCGAAGACGAGGCCGTGGCATCTAAACTCCAATAGATTCAGTAGACGCATCTTGCGAGAGTCGCTAGGCGCAGTAGCCGCAGAGAGTGTGCAGATGCAGACAAATTCCCCAATTTCCCGATATACCCAAACAC